CATCCATCCTCCATTGTTGGAATTATGCATGGATGAAACATTTATCTCTGTGATGTTATCAAATACTGTGGTGATCTGAGGCATTTACATTGTTATAAGGAGATAACATAGTGTTATATTAGTAATGTTCCCATTGCTGGCATAAGTTGCTATGTAATTTCCAAGGAATACCCTGCAGGTACATAAATAAGTCATGTCACTTCTGAGTGTATTCATTTTGCATGACAAAAAGCTTAAATTCACACTGTCCTTAAAACTTCAGGCATGGTTATTGTGAAGAATAGCTCAAATATAAGACTAGGTATAATTTTTGCATAGAGTTTCCCAGTCTTTGGTAGTACTCACAAGCTATGTTGAATAGACATGAACACCTCCTTTTGGAGACGGTCCTTTTTCTCTTGCATCAGAGTTTACCTATTTTCATCTTGGCAGTACACTGCATTGCACCTTGTTGGCATAAACAAAGATCACTGCAGTTTTGGTAGTAGAAAGTCTGTCATCTGCTCTAGCATCCATGGGTGGCAGTAATTGTCATGTGAAAAGTTGATTTCTTTAGATTAAATGGACACAGTAATGGAAAGAGCAAAGGTGGAAGAATATTCAGATATTTTATTTGGAGTAGGTACGTGACTTGGTTCGTTTCCAGCTATACCTGCTGGAAGATTTTGGACAACTTTTAGAGCAAGCCAGTGTACATTTTCTTAATAGGCACCAATTTCCTTTTGTATCCTTGCCCATTAGAAGTATAGAGGTGCACTAGCGTCAGGTTGTGCCCAAGGTAATACTTGTGGTGAAAGTTCAGGCGGGTTTCAGTAATTGTTTACAGGAGTGTAGATACCTTGTACAACTTTGGAAGGAGTAAATCAGATAAAACTGTGCTCCCTGTTTGCTTTTTATCACGACTCCTACAGAAATTTAAAGGACACTTACCCAGCAGCTCTAATTTCAATGTGGTTTAGGGAGGCGGTGTGATTCAGCAGGCTGGACATGGTTTTCCTCATTTGTAATGTTATTTATTATTACTTAAACCTGCTCTGAGAACTATGGGTAAAAAACTTAAGTTATTCCTCCAACAAAGAGATTATTCTTACTGGGACTCAAAAGAGTTGACTGGGTTGAGTATCTCCATATGGTAAAATTCTTGGAGGTGGCTTGTTTGAAGCGAGGCAGGTGGCCAACTTTGGACTGAGGGATCTCAGCTGGAAGTCTTGGACCTGAGCAAATATTATGCTTAAATGTTCATAACTAACTAGTAGTTGAAGGTGTACTATAAATTAGAGACAACTTTTAAAACATTCACCTAGGTGATGGGGAGAGGGGTTTTGTTCTAGATATTTTTCTTTGGCTGAAAAATGAAGAGTTACTAGAAATTATGGCTGAAAAATGAAGAGTTATTGGAAATTGTGGCTCTGAATCTGCTTACTCTAATGGGTTGTGAGGTGCTTTCCTAAGAAATGCAAGAAATGGGATTATGTGTACAAACTTAATTCACCCTCTTGATCTGTGTAAATTCTGCCTCAGTTTTTACGTACATTATTACGTAGTCCTTGCCTGTTGGATCTGGGCTCATTCAAAGATGCAAAAGGTGAGCGCTGCTTGCGGTTAATGAATACTGCTAATGAGCATGCACTCAGTCATTTTTTTTCTCCCCGTTGTTCAGGTTAGAGCTGCAGGCCTTTTTTACTCTGCATTATTCAAACCTCGGTGTGGAGACAGAGGTCTTCATTTCTGTATGGGCTCTTCATCACTACAACGTTCAATGACTTAAAGGTATTAACTGGTATTTGCTGGTGGAGGAGCAGCAGAGGTTCAGGATCCTGGTTCCAGCCTGGGGTGTGCGGAGGAGCTGCCTCCAGTGAACACAGACTCTTTTGCTTGTTTTTCCAAATGTTACGGTTTCTTCTCTGTTCTCTCCAAAATTATAATCTCCCAGACTTGTCTCGTCATTGGGCTAGACCCCCTTTCCAACCTTTAATTTCTCCGCCACCATAGTGGCCCTCTCTGTCCTTCTCTCTTGGCCCAGCCTAGCTGAATCACCCTCTCCAAGTGTCCTTCTCTGGCCTTTCTGACCATATTCCCCGTTTCATCCTGCTCTCAGTCCTAGCCTGTCATTTCAGGGGCAGCAGGGCCAACATAAATAGTGTGCCCCTGCCAAAAGGGAGGAGGAGATCATGTGCTTTGTCTTCTTTCACTTGTCTGGTTCCAGACATACAAGATTCCCCGTCCCAATTTACTCATTTCCTTCCCCAGTGTGCTGGCTCCTTTCTCTTTTTCATTGGCTTAGAAAAACTTCTCTGTTAAACAGTACTTTTTGTACTAAACAGTACAAACACATAGTTTTGTGATTGTTTCTTTTGGGCAGTGCCTAGTTAAATAAAGGGCTGCCCTCTCTCCTCTCGGTCCCCACCGCTCCTCTCCTGTGCCAGCACAGATGCCCCTGCAGCCACCTTGGGAGATATACTGGGAAACCAGTCTTGGTTAGAAGTAACCCAGCACCAATAAAAGGCTCGTCTTCTCTCAGGGCCACCACACAGATTTGGACTGACGCAACTGAAGGGCTGATAGAAAGCTGGTGATGAGGGGTTGCGTAAACTTGTGGCATGCCAAAAAAAATCTTAGTGAAACTTCAGTGCTCATTTCCTTCCATGTTTCAGTTCCCAGTCTCGCCCCAGTCAGCGGGACTACTGAAATGAAAGTCCTTCCAAGTCCTCATAGTTGGGAGCGGGGCTGGCAGGAGGAGCTGAGCCTGCAGCTCTGTGTGCTCTGTCTTTGCGGCAAAACTGGCCTAAGGTGTTTTCCCTCCTCATGTTTGCAGCATATTCCTGCCTCTCCATGGTAAGCTGGATCGGCTTGCTCCTCTGGATGAAGGATATTTTCCTCCTCTGCTCCACTCCATTTCGGTTGGGATTTTATTAACCCAGATGAGTGGATCCAGTTTACCATGTGGCCGTGTCAGTGCAACGTGTGCGGGATGGGAACGTCCCCAAGGATGG